AAATCCCCCCAGACCTCAAAACTGTCCCAAATCCCCCCCCGTTCCCGTTTCCGTTCCCATCCCCGTTCCCGTTCCTGTTCCCCCCCCCCATTTCCCATTCCCGGTTCCCGTTCCCCGTTTCCATTCCCCGTTCCCCATTCCCGTCCCCCATTCCTGTTCTCCAGTTCCCGTTCCCCATTCCCATTCCCTGTTCCGTTATTCCCATTCCCCATTCCCGTTCCCGTTTCCAGTTTCCGTTCCCATTCCCCATTCCCGTTCCCAGTTCCTGTTCCCCGTTCCCGTTCCCTTTCCCAGTTCCCGTTTCCCATTCCCCATTCCCAGTTCCCGTTATCCCCGTTCCCATGATTCCCGTTTCCCATTCCCCATTCCCGTTCCCATTCCCGGTTCCCATTTCCCATTCCCGTTCCCGTTTCCAGTTTCCATTCCCATTCCCCATTCCCAGTTCCCGTTTCCCATTCCCCATTCTCAGTTCCCGTTATTCCCGTTCCCATTATTCCCGTTTCCAATTCCGCATTCCCGGTTCCCATTTCCCGTTCCCGTTCCCCGTTCCCATTCCTGTTCCCCATTCCCATTCCCCATTCCCTGGTTCCCATTCCCCGTTCCTGTTTCCCATTCCCATTTCCGTTCCCATTCCCTGGTTCCTGTTCTCGTTCCACATTCCCGTTCCCCGTCCCCGTTATTCCCATCCCCTTTCCCATTCCCATTATTCCCGTTCCCGTTATTCCTGTCCCCGTTCCCATTCCCGTTATTCCCGTTCCCCATTTCCCGTTCCCATTCCCATTCCCATTCCCCTTCTCGTTTCCCCGTTCCCCATTCCCGTTATTCCCGTTCCCATTCCCCATTCCCGTCACTCCCCTTTCCCATCACTCCCGTCATTCCCATCTCTCCCGTTATCCCCGTCACTCCCGTTATCCCCGTCACTCCCATCACTCCCGTTATCCCCGTCACTCCCGTCATTCCCATTGTCATCCCCGTCACTCCTGTTGTCACTCCCGTCACTCCCGTTATCCCCGTCATTCCCATCTCTCCCGTTATCCCCGTCACTCCCATCACTCCCGTTATCCCCGTCACTCCCATCATTCCCGTCACTCCCGTCATTCCCATCTCTCCCGTTATCCCCGTCATTCCCATCACTCCCGTTGTCACTCCCGTCACTCCCGTTATCCCCGTCACTCCCGGTATCCCCGTCACTCCCGTTGTCACTCCCGTTGTCACTCCCATCATTCCCATTGTCATTCCCGTCACTCCCGTTGTCACTCCCATCATTCCCATTGTCATTCCCGTCACTCCCGTTGTCACTCCCATCACTCCCGTTATCCCCGTCATTCCCGTCACTCCCGTTATTCCCGTCACTCCCGTTATCCCCGTCACTCCTGTCACTCCCGTCACTCCCGTTATCCCCGTCATTCCCGTCACTCCCGTTATTCCCGTCATTCCCGTTGTCATTCCCGTCACTCCCGTTGTCATTCCTGTCACTCCCGTTGTCACTCCCGTTGTCACTCCCGTCATTCCCGTTGTCATTCCTGTCACTCCCGTTATCCCCGTCACGTCACTCCCGTTATCCCATCACTCCCGTTGTCATTCCCGTCACTCCCGCCGTTCCCGTTCCGCTCACGCTCTCGGCCGCCTCCCTCAGCGCGTCCCAGCGCAGCCGCGGCACCAGGCGGGACACGAAGGCGGCGTTGAACGGCACCGGGCGCTCCCGCACCTCGGCGGCCTGCGGGCAACCACGGGCTGAACGGGCTCGTTAGGGGTTAATTAGGGGTTAACGGGGCTCATCAGGGGTTAACAGGGTTCATTAGGGGTTAATTAGGGGTTAACGGGGCTCATTAGGGGTTAACAGGGTTAATTAGGGGTTAATTAGGGGTTAACGGGGCTCATTAGGGGTTAACAGGGTTCATTAGGGGTTAATTAGGGGTTAACGGGGCTCATTAGGGGTTAACGGGGTTCATTAGGGGTTAATTAGGGGTTAACGGGGCTCATTAGGGGTTAACGGGGTTCATTAGGGGTTAATTAGGGGTTAACGGGGCTCATTAGCGGTTAACGGGGTTCATTAGGGGTTAATTAGGGGTTAATGGGG